ATCAATTTACCAGAAGTTAGAGGCGCACTCGTAGCTGTACGCTTTCGTTTCAGCGCCGTGGAATAATTTTCAGAAAGTTGCAACGCGTTCGGCTCAGCCGAGCTGAAAACGAGACCGACCACCGCGTGGAGGGTCGTGCTCGAAGGGCGGAAAAACTTTTTCACGAGATGACGAGTGTCGATGCGACGAGTGTCATCGAGCATCCTAATCTCTGTGAACGAAATTGAGCTAAATCGAGCGCGTGCACACTCGTATCGAGCGACTTTCAAACAGTCATTTCACCCTTTAACGCGATAAATCTGTGCATCGCGACAGCTGATTCAGCCAGCGATAATCGTCCGTAACATTTTTAATATCGATCTCGTTCTCGAACGAAGAAACGGTCGTGGACGTAAAGCGATAAAAATTAAAAAAAATTGTCGCGGATTAAGAGGTTAACAACCGAGTGGGTTCGTGACGAAAATCGTTTTAAATCAGCCTTTTTCCCCTCTGTCGAACGACGACACGCTGGCCGATTAACGACACGTATAAACCGCGCCTGTGTTAACGCGACGTGAAAAGCGTTTATTATCGCGTCGGTTAATTAATTGATCGCGAAAAGACAGCGGCGATCAACGTGCCAACAGAAATAGCCACGGTTCGAGCGATTCAATGAAGCAGCTCGATTCCATCAACGAACGGCTAGCTGCAAGTCGAGAACATTGTAAAGCGACACCCTGATGCGCGTAGTCCGATATTGTTGCATGCAAATAATTGTTGTACGGGTATCCCAGCGTTATGTGCCGGCAAACCAAAACGGTAAATCGAAATTGGAGCTGTCAAACTTTGAATTATTCCGATTACGCGATTATCATTCGCGTATAACGCGTTTCGAAAGTAGAAAGGTTCTACGATCAACCAAGTAGAAATACGGTAGAATCCAACGTAGAAGCAGTAACATTAAAATTAAAGCACCGTTACGATTTTTCGAAATTGAAATTCGAATTTTGCTGGTATGCCGTAACCGAACACGATAGTTTCTACCGTAGCAATCCCGTTAACGAAATTCTACCGCGAATTCGTTACGGTTCTACGTTAATTTTCTCGTGATACCGTCTCGCGACGTTACACCGGTGGCGCAATCCCAACGAGATTCGAGTCTAAACGTTACGCGAAACTGTGGTGCTCTCGTGTTCGGTGAAAAGTAATCTCCTTATAATCATTACACCATGTGTCTCTCGTTTCTGTTCCCCTTTCCTCCCTTTCTAACGTTCATTTCGCAATTCCACGAACGTCGTACAGCCAGCCAACGTCACTCGCAGTTTCCTCGATCCCTTTGGAATTTCAAGTATGCAATAATTTAATCCATCGTCTTCCCTTTAGTCCCGGCGTGGCAGCGTAGAAAGGTTAAATAGATTAATTGCTTAGGTCAGATCGATCGAGTATGACAGGGTGGGTAGCTCTTTCTCCGTCTCCCTCTTTCGCCAGTCTTCACCCTCTTTCTCTCCCTCTCCCGCGCCTCCTCCTCCGGATCCTCTTTATTCCTTTTTTCCTGCGCCTGGAAATTGCTATCGCTTTGAGAATTAAACCTGGACTCGGTTCACTCGCTTCGAACGAACAAAGGTAGTAGTGGGGATTGGTAGGGAAGGCGGAAAGAAGAGAGACAGAGAGGAATAGGGTGGTGATAGTAGGAGGTTGTGGGTGGTGGGGAAGAGCCATAACGATGATGCTCGTTATTCGAAAAAAGAAAGAAGAAAATATATCGCTGGCGAGGACTGTGATGAACGAGAAAGCAGAAGGCCGCGCCTGATATCGTTTTTTCGCTTTAATAAATCCCTCCTCTCCTTCCCCTCTTTCTCCTCCGCGACCAACCCCTACTCTGTGTACTTTTTATATTTTCTACAATTTTATTCCCGATGGCTTTCAAACGAACGCCGTTTCCTTCCCCTCGCGTATAGCTCGGGCGTCGCAGAATCCGTGGCTAAGAAGCGAGCTGCCTCCTAATCAAAATTCCTTGCCGCGACGCGATAAGATACGTCGAGTCGTTTCGGTAAACGCGTCCTACCGACCAAACGAGACGCCGTTGACCTCTTTCCGGTGCCGTCTCACCGAAATTCTGCGCTCTTCCGTTCGCCTCTTTCATCTAACCCTCTCGTTGCCGGTGTATTTATTGTTCCCGTTGTTTTCCAACTTTTCTCGCGTGTCGTCTATTTCGAAACGTACCGAGGTACGAACAGCATTTTCAACGCTGCAACGACAGCGGATCGGTTGTCGATGAAAAGCTACACGCGAACAGAAACAAAGTTAGACGGAAGTAAAAGGGGGACTGGCTTAATTAGACAGAATGGCCCGCTTTGCATAACGCATCCTTTCGTCGGTGGAAATAGACGTAGTATTCGATGCCCAAGCAACTTTCGTTCGGATAACAAAACAGCCGTCAAATCGATCGCGTGACCCCGATGGGTAGGTTTTATACTTGGACTCTACGTAGTTTCGTTTTCCTTGTACGCTCCACGAGGGGCTTCTTGGTTCACGCACGAAAAGCCCGGGGACGGGTTACGATGCTTCGTCACGGACGAAATATAATCCCGTGGCGAAGCTTCTTTTTCATGCACTTCCATCCGGAAGTCGCACGCGTGCCGGGAACAGGATACGATCGACGGGCGGTTCTTTAAAAAATTTCTTCCTCCTTTTCTTCGCGTCCATCGCGAAGTCTCGTTTGTTCGAGCAAAATACGTGAAATCCGTGAAATATCGCGAGACTCGATCGAGAAAGACAATGTTCCCGCGCTACGGGCAAAACCGAGCAAGTTACGCACGCGATGGTAACGCGCAAAGTGTAACGTTACAGACCGGTGTACAGAGTTACATGGCCCGCGCAACGTGCAATCTACAGGGATCCCGCTTGGCTCGCGTAACGCGAAACGACCAGAGTTTCTCTACGCGAGCGTTCGCGGCGATTAATCGTCGGTAAGCACCGCGCCATACACCACACCTACTTATCGATGATTAACGAGCGAGCAATTAGTCGGTCGTATGGTCGTTTATGAGCCGAAAATTAGCCGTACGCGTCTTATCGTCGCGATCGTTGCGTCGCGTCGAGTCGCGTCGCGCCGCGTCACGTCGGTGATTCGGCAATTACGAGGCCCATGGAATTTCACCCCGTTCCTCTTCCCGTCCGTCGGTGCAGTCCTCTCGAAACGAAGAATCGATCCGTCGTTCGCGTCCCTCGGTTCGCTCCCCCTGAAAAAAGGCGAGGCAAAAGAATCGAAGTAAAAAAAAGAAAAAGTAAAAAGGAAAAAGAAAAACGAAAGAGGAAGAGAAGAGAGAAGAGAGAGAAACCGTTGGAGGATGAGGAGTAGGAAGAAGAGTGGCTGTAGCAGGACTTTGGTGGGGAAAGGTGGTGCAGGGGGAAATGGCGAGATGGGGGAGAAAGCGAACGAGCGAGGGAGAAGGCGGTTACGTACTCCTTCGAAGCAACGCAAGATGGATTTCCGCGAACTTCGAGCGGGCCTTAACTCGTGAAAAATGTCAAAGCGAGTAGAAGAATAGGCGGCTGCCAGGAGAACAGGGGAAGGGACGCGACGACTGAAAAGGGTGACTGGTTGGCGAGGCGAAAGGGGCGCAAGACGAAGCATCGCCGTCGTCGTCGAATCTACGTGTGCCCGTTGTCCGTCCGCCGCGCGTGTATACATGTATCCGCGCGTACTTAAGATCCAAAAGCGCGGCGAGGGATTCGGAGAGGGGAGACAGACTCGCGGGGAAGAAAGCTGCGAGAACGTCGGGAGGGAGAGAATCGCGCGACGGAGGGGCACCGCCGCCGCCGCCACCTCGTTGGTAGGGATGATTGTCAAAACAGGGCTGCAAGACGCTACGAAAAATGTTCGTATTTATGGCACTATTTCCGCCGCCGAACCCCCCTCCCTAAGAATCGCCCACCCCCGCCGTGCCTCGCCTTGTCTCGATCTCTCGCGAAATTCTCCTTCCGTTCCCCCTTTCTCTCTTCTTTTTTTTTTCTCCTTTTTACTTCCTCCCTTCTGCCTTCGTTTTCCAGAGTGCGCCGCGCCGCGCGGTCGTTCTTACTTTTCTTGCTTTTCTCGTCTACTCCTCCACCGCTCTCTTCGTCGGCCCACTCCCACCAAGTCTTCCCGCGCCTCGTTTCCCCTTCCTGTACGTTATATATCTCGTACCTCTGTACCCTACCTTCGGTCACGATCTCCCACTCCAAACGATTTCTCCCCACTCGCGAGCAGCGACTTACCGGCGGGAGCACTCCCACCTTCGCGACGCCACTTTAATGTACATTAATAAAAAGCAACAATCAATATCTTCCCCGTAAAAAATTTTAATCTATAACAGAGAGAATTCCGGCCCCTCCCGCATCTCCTACCACGACTTTTCTCTCTCTCTCTTTCTCTCTCCGTCTCTGTCTCTCTTTCTCTCGGCCGCTCGCACGCTCTTCCTCGCGCGCGCTCCCTTTCTCTCTCTCGTTCCTTCTCGCTTTCTCTTTCTATCTCTTTCTCCTACCTCCCGCCCTCTTGAGGAAAGCGCCGCTACGAGCCGAGCCGAGCCCTCAGTATCGTATCTAGGCTCTACCGATACCCCGTTCTCGGAGTCAACGACGCGCCAAGTGCGCGTTGTCGTTTCACTTTTCACACCGCCACGCGAACCCGCCCTTCGTGACTTCGTACACGTGCCCTTTTTCGCGCGCCCTTCCGAGCGCGCTTCCTCCGTACACCACCCGCCTGTCGACCGCCTGCCCGCCCGTTGCCGCCGCTCTCTCTTTCTTTCTTTCTGCCCGGCGTGCTTCTTTTCCGTCGCTCGGAAGTTAGACCCATCCTTATCTGCCTGTCTTTTTCCCTCTTCGTCGCTCCCGTTTGTTTCTCCGCAAACTCTGCCCCGTTACGCGCCAACGATACACACGCGTCGTATTCGGTGGGGAGCGGTTGTGCGTGCCGCTCGTTGTATGCGTACGACGCGCGGAAGTCGAAAATGTGACGAGGCAGGAGAGCGATGTGCGTGCCCGTCGCGGATGTACGCGTAGTAAAGAAAAACGTGCTTCCGCGGCGTTTCCTTTTCAGTGATCGAGTGCGATTTAATCAGTGTGCGAAAAACAAAACAAACTGTAACGTTCTCGATTTTCGTAGCATCGTCGATTCGGAGCGCGCTCCGAACAGTCATCGATCGTGAACGCTTTCGATCGGACCTATTTAAATTCCAACGAAGGAGGGAATCGCTCGGTAATCGCGCAACGAGCGCTGACCTTTCTTATCTGTTTCGTCGAATTGTTTTTCCGCAAAAGTTCAGTCGAATATTTATCCGGCTACGATTGAGCGAACCGAGGGTTACGGTGTATGCGCGGGAAAGAATACGATTCTAAAATATCACGATCCGGAGCCTATCTCCGGCTACGCTAATTTCGCGTTCGCGTATTACGAGCGAGGGGCACGAGTTCTCTCGAGCCGCGTTTCTTTTTCCCGAACAAAAGGGTACGGGAGTAGCGGCGCGAGCAACGAGGAGAGACGCGCGGAACGAGAAAGACGAAGGGGAAGAAAGACGGATAGCAGGAAAGAATCGGGTAGTGGGAGAGGGGAAGGGAGAAACACAGGCGGTCTCGCGCATCTCTGCGCGCGACGAAGGCAACCGAGCTTCTTTGGACCTCAGGAGACTATAGTCGACTATTTTAACTTGAACGCTATGTACTGTAGCGTATTTTGTCGCTGACTCCACGAAGACACCGTGCATCGTTATCTTCCGCTTTTTTTTTTCGTCTCCTGCTCGCGTTCGCGTCGCGAAATTCGTCGACACCGGTTCGGACCTATCTTAACAACAGCGTAGAACGTCTTCGAGCACGAGGCAACGGAGAACGAGAAGAAAAACGTCGATCGACTCGAGCTCGGGATCGAGAACGATCATGCTATGCGTGTTTCCCGTGTAACGATTCAAACGTTGACTTTTTTACGCGCGTGCTTTCGTAGAAAGTTTCGAAGTTGTGCCAAGTGTGTCGAAACGAAGTCGCTCGTATAGTTCGAATCAAATTTGTGCCGCGCGACGACGCTAGCACCGAAACAGTGATTCACCGCGTCCGGACCGAGGTCCGAGAGGTCTACGAAGTCGTCGATCGTTCTCACGGAAGTTGCGACTTTGACAGCTCCGACCACGGCTGATCGACGAAAATAACGTACGTAATCGTACTTTGTCAGTTTCTCTTCTTTTTTACATCGTCGACAGTTTCTCGGCAACTGGCGAATGACGTACGATCGCGGAGCGCGTTTTCTAACCTCTAAACTCGATTCGTCGTCCCGTACGAATCTTCGAATGAGACGCGCGCGTACACGCATGCGCGCGCGCGCACGCGTGCGAGCTCCTCAACCGGATGACATTGCACCGGGATCTCTCGCCCCTGGCCGTGCCACACCGTAGGTCAGGTTAGAAACCTGTGCGAACGTTTCCGCGACGCATGTTGCCTCTCGTGTGCGCCATTGAACGGAGACGGTGTTATCGCGCGTACCGCGAACCACGACAAAGATAATCTCGACGCAACGGAACGAGCGAGACGGCCAGATGTAAGCGAACGGTGAAAAGAAAAAGAAAGGGAAACGACGCGGCGCGACTCGACGCCGGCGGGAGCGAGACCGAGAAACGGCGCGAAAGAGAGAAAGAGAGAGGAAAGGAGAGCACGCGGCATGCTCGTAGCGTGGCAGCGTTTCGAGTTCGTACGGGTGACTGAATGGAATGAGTCGTTGCCGGCAGCGAGGGGAAGGGTAAGTGTTGGACCAATAGAGTCGGGAGTTTTGTCAGGGCCGTGATGGGAGGGGGGCACAGAGACGTTGGAAGGGGGCGAATTGACGGACTTACACACGTGCGTTCGAACCTTACGCTATGCGTACGCTCGTTGCGTTCACGCAGAATTGCGCGGCTCGAGCCGGATTCATCGTGTCTAGTAATGGGATCGATTCTCTTACTACTCTTTTCGAAACTGCATTCCTTCCTTTACCTACGATCTAGCGAACAAACGTACGGTAATCGTTGCGCGAGAAGTCACCTGGAGGGAACGCGTGTTCCGTTGCTAGAGCCGGAGAGGGTACGACTCTGATTCTCACGCGTTTTCGGTGCATGCCTATCGGTCGCGCTTAAATTAATTAGAACCGAGTGTGCGAAGTATCTCACTTGTCCCTGTACCGTTTCTTCTCGCGTGACACTTGTCTGCACAAGTGCAGCTCCTCACGCGACTGGACACACCGAATGCGCCAACGAAATTCATATAGAATACGAACAAGCCGAACACGAAGTTCTCTGCAGTATTTTTGGGATATATGTGTATTTAGGAAAAAAAGTAGGTGGTTGCATAGATTAGAAGTAGATGTTTATAACTCGATACTCGCGAGAGGATCGTTTCCATCGCTTGTCCCGCAGTAGTACATGGCTCATACACGACACACATGCAGCTACGATTGTAACTCGTTTATTCTGTCTCTCCGTGCGTACGTGCACGCCGTGGAAAACCAGCTGTGCGAATCGATCGGCCGCGGATTCGATTTTTCTGCTCTCCGTCGATGTTACGGACTGATAAGTGGTGACGTGACAAGATTTATTCAAGGGATCGACTAGGGTACATCCGTTGTGTTGATTTCGATACGCTCTCTGTTCCTCTCTATTACATTTATGGATCGAGTCAAATTCAAAGAAAACACGCGTTTCTTTTTCTTCTCTTTCAATTTATTCTTTTCTTTCGTGTTTCGCAATCGAGTGAAATTAAGTTTCTTGTTTTAGAAACTCGACGTAAATATCATTCAGCTGTAAAGCAGAATTTCTTAGGTACTCTTTATATCGATCGTGAATTAACCTGATGCAGCAAATTCAACGTAAATAGGTTAATAGTTGATCATATTGGAACATATGGCAGATTTTAATAAGCTTAACGACGCGTGTCGCGATAATTTATTATATTTACGCGTAATTGAGATCGTTCGAGAATAATAACGTATCGTTTGCATAGTGTCTCGAAAGAAACGCGAGCAATTTTCTCCGACTCGTCTGTCCGAATCGATCGAATTTTTTTTGTCTTTCTCCTTAGAAAAGTCGTACGGTGCTTGTTAGATCGATCGTATACCGGTTTGCCCGCGGAAACGAACTTGTTCAAACGTTATAACTTTGTTGCGACGATCATGTACGAATGGAGCAAAGTAGCCGAGAACGGTTTATTTCATCCGAACGTATCTTTCGAACGACGTTAATATCGCTTAAATAAAACGATGTACCGTCGCAATTAAACGGAACAAAGTGTAACCGGGTTTCGTTGTTTCGTTCGAATAAGAGATAAAAAATTGGCGAGTATGGAGATGCGTTTGCAGTCGGAATTTGTAGGACGGCAAGAATAGTGACGGAACTTAACTGGAACGTATCTATTCTGGTCGGCGTTTGATGGCCACCGTTGTTATCCTCGTTAAGCGCGACGAACCCGAAGTAAAAGTGTAAAAGGCACACGGGTCATTCCGTGGCTGCGAAAAGGGAAAGGCTCTGATCTCCGAACGAACGGTGGTCCAGCAGATCGAGAACTCGAATCCGTTCGGCCCAGTCTCGAAGACCTGTTGCATTTTAACGCGTTCCCGTACCGTGTGAAATTCACGGTCTACGCGTGAAACCAGATCCAAAAACTCTGTTTCGTTACTCGATTACGAGACGACTACACTCGCGTTGCACTCCTTTCGATGCCCTCCCGTTTTTGTTTCGCTCGCTACCGACGTCACGAAGCGCCTCTCAGAATTCTATTCGAATTTTCTCGATCGGGAGCTTTTAATTTTGCTCTCGTTCTCCGCTTTGATTATAGTTCACAGTCGCAACTGGCTCGTACAATTCAACTTTAATTCTCTCGATCGTAAGAAAATTACGATTGCATCGCGTTTGTTCCGTTTTACGAAATTACGCCGAAGAATTCAATTTTAATTCCCTCGATCGTAAGAAAATTACAATTCTATTATATTTGTTACGCTTTCCTTTCGCTTTTCCCTCGTTCTGCTTCGATGCCGAATCGAAAAGTATCTTTCCTCGCTTGATTTCAACTCGATTAAGAACGCTAAATTCGAAACTTTTACCTGCGTTCTCCCGCTAATGAAAATCTTATTTTATTCCGCGAATAATTTTAAATTAGATATCTTCTATTAGGAATGTGGCGATCTACGTACCAAAAGAGTACTATTTAGCGGCATCGGGATTACATTGACGTCAAGCCTCGTGCGATCGTCTGATCTTATGCCGGCTAAAATGATCAAGCTGTTTGCGATGAATATGGAAATTAATCGTAATCGATAAATATGCTCGTTAATGAAATCCGAGTCCGAAGGTTTGTTTTTCGTCGATATTTTTTGTGTCGTTCTATTTAACAAAATTATTCCTCCAGCCTTTTGCAATCGTCTAGAAAATTATTTGCGCATATATGCCTATAGAACATATCCAAGAAGCAAATTGAACATTTTATATAATGTGTGACGTTTGTGTGACGGTAGTTTTTCATGAACAGGATACGTAAACAAAAATCACGTCACAAGCAAAAATTATCTTCCAACTCGAAGTGGAGAAGTTGAAAAATCATCGCGCGTATAAAAACGTACAAGGTTAAAAAATCGTTTTAATGATTGGCGATATCGATATTTCGACGGCTGAGGCAAAAACTTATACAAAGTCGAAGGTTTAAATCGATAAGTCGGGTATTTCGAATAATTACAATCGTAATGCACGATAGCTTACGGTCGAATCTACCGTGTTCGAGGACTGTGCTCGTTGAATGAATGAAATAAATAATAACAATGAAGTATATCGTTGCATATCATGAATAGATAATAACGATGTATCGCGAAGAGCATGTTCGCAACGTTAAGAAATAACGAGATTACCTAAAAAGCGTCTGTATATTTGTTAGGTTGCTATAGCATTCTCTCGTCGGCTAATCGCGCACGAACGCGTCAGATATTATTTAAAGGCAAAAGTTTCCGATTTAACTACGTATGTAGGTAAGACAATGCAGAAAATGGGAAGTCGATCGATCGATCGAACGCAAAGGCTACTTGGTTCTGCCAACTATAGTCACCGACAACTCGTAGCATACTTGCACAGATGGTTGACACGAATAATACGAGGATACGGTGTAACGCTTCGCGTTCCATGAAATATTAAGCGGAATTCGAGCGGGCCCCGTGTTTTTGCATGCACGTTTCCGCGTTTCGGTTCGCGGAGTTTTTTTTCTGGATCGATAGAGCCGCGGCGAACAAGAAGAGGAAGAATGGAGGAGGTGGCTGTCGGTGCATAAACAAACGCCCTGTTTGCACGTTTATTAAATAATTCTTGATACTCGTGCGGCGCACGGTGAGCGCGTATGTAATTTACGAGGCAATTTTTCAAACACGCTCATTGACATCGGTCGCGTGCACGTGACCGTTCGATTTTTCATCGCAGACCGCTGTTACGTTCGCGCCGATGACCGTCAATTTTCTTCCTGCGTGGCGAACGACTCCTCGTCTTCGTTTTATATTACAGATATCTGAATTATCGCGTTTAGTTCGCGGTGTTTAGTCATCGGTGACCCCCGTGCATACGCCAGTTACGCCGTAGAAAGACTCTTGAGTCATTGATCGCGCGATGCGATTCGCGATTACGTTGTTGCCCTCTTCTTATTTATAACGTGTCAATAGCGTACCCTGTTATTTCCGGTTGTTAACACCGATCAATATTACATATCTTGCTTTCACGAGCGACATCATTATTCTACTCGTCTACTTATCAACCACTGTTCTGTGCTACTTTTGTTTGCTTCATGAAATTTTCCAGCTTGTAAATTGTAGAGCAGTAGACTAGAAAGTTAATCCGCGATATCTTCGATAATCAATTAACGCGTTAAGAATCGCACGTTCAACGAAACGAAAGAAAGTCGAGTTCGCGGCAACGAAATAATCTGATCGATCGCATCGCGATTCCACGCCGCGATAATCTCGAATAAGTTCCACTTATGTCGTACGCGTAATTAACGCGTTAACGAACGAGCGTAATTTTCTAATACGCGAATATATTTGGCGGAGCTTCGACATAGTCCCATTAGAAACGCACACGTTTGTACATATCTGGAGGGCAACAACGGCCAGCTGTTTACGAAACAGCTTGAACCGTGCAAACAAACGTTCTCGTTCG